AAGGATTGCGCCGAAGGCGCCACCGTCGGCAGAGGATCATTGGATGACTGTTTTCAGCGGTCACTCGGTGGAAACGTCATCGGCTCAACTGTCCTCGAGGTCGCTGAAGCGAAATGCGGTCACTGCTGACCGTCGGCCGACGAGGTTCCGACTTAACTGATTAGCATATGCATTACAACGGTTTCTGACAGCGCGACTGATTTCACAGCTTCTTTGAGCCGTAAGCAGAGAAACGGCTTAAACGATACGACAAGGGATTTGGCGGATGGACATCGGATTAGCGTTAAGACCCTGGACAAAGGTGTCAAGGAATTGGCATCCAAAACAATGACAATCGCTGCTAAGGAAGTAGTGCAGTGATAAACGGGGGCCAAAAGGCAGGCAGAGAAAGAACAAGCCAACACTCAAAATTTTGCTAGAACAATGAACGAAAATCTGACTACAGAAGATCACCTCATTCAATGAAATTTCCGCTTCCGTCCGCATCGTGCTAGCGAACTTCAGTATTGCTGCAGTGCCCCAAAGGCGAAATGGATTGTGGTGCCTGTGGCATAGTTTAAAATAATTCACTAGTTAAAGCCGTTATGAAAATAAAACTCTAAACCTTTGGCCTTTACAGTATGGAAACTTTATGGCATGCAAACTGAAGTGTTTAATGCATCGAATAATAGTCCTCATTTTTTCGTATGGTCTTTGGGCGTAGCCAGAGCTATCGGCTTAAACCGGAAAATCAATTGAATGAAAAATGAATTAGCGAACGAGTCAATCAATGAAATCGCAGAAGAATTCGTTTTCAACAAGACCAACATATTCAATCGACCGAAAACAGCATACACATGCCACTGAAGATTGAATTGCTCCTCAAACCTTAGAGCTAGCAGAAAATTCAATATGAGAATAGCTTTGTGATTTAAATATTCCTACTTAGAGGCTGAAGTTAAGGACGAGTTCTCTAATAACAATAAATCGTAGTTGAGTTCTTAGCTACAAAACTATACATTTAAAAGTTCTCCATTTTACTCTGGAATTTTCGTCGAGGGTTCAACAATCAATAGCATCGTAAAAATAAAACTACAAACTTATTAATCCACGATATGCGTATCATTTCTATGATGCTACGTGGTTACTATTAATGATTACTGTTTCGATACTCCTTGGAAGTTTTTGCAGCAGAAAATCTGTTAGTGAGTTTGGGCGTATGGGCGATTTCTTGTATTTTCAAATTTGCTATGCATCTTAAAAATACTTATAACAGGGAGACTTCAAAACAAAACGCTTATTCTTGAACCTACCAACTGGTAACTGCTTGTGAGATGAAGAAATGACAATACTGTATCGTAAGCCGTTTAACCCTTAGGTGCAAATGACAGTTTGGTTCAGAAAGCAGAGTGCCATTTGTGCACAGGCACCCTAAACGCAAAAGTATAAATATCTAGCATAAGTACCAAAAGAACAAACGGAGAACTACACCAATGTTGAACTGTACTAATGCATGGGCTTTTTGACACAACGTAGCCATCATCCCATTTTCAGATCTACTACTGGATGAAGATCTCTTCAACTGTTTACCATAAGTGTTTGCGATTCTCATTATCATGCAATGAGCCTATTCAGCTGATCCTATCATTGACTTGGATGTCTTCCTATGAGACGTTTACTGTCTCTTGGAACTAAGTCTGATGTATTTCCGGTCCACTGATGATCGCTTCTCTTGCCTACGTGTCCCCCCCCATCATTTCTTCTTGATATTTCCATAACACAGATTTCCTTGCTGCATTGGGTAGGCAGTGATTCGTGAAGGGCTCTCATGAAAACGTTCCTCTGTTCCATACTAATACGTTAGCTCTGATCGAAGACCTTAGTTGTCAACGCAACTTGAGGTGATTGGCTCATCTTAACCTCTACAGATTTTTTTGGTCGTAACTCTTAACTTATAGTGAAACTAAAAGATGCTGTGTTTAGCTTTAATCATCTACAGCTGATCACCCTGCTAGTGCCAGGAAAGAAGAGGAAACTTAATCATGAGAAGCCGCAAATTGTTTGCGCTTGAATCATGACACATTAAAGGGTTTTTAACCTGATAAGTCAATTATGTATATTCATAACATACTTATACCGACATGTCATGTTGCGCCTATGTGTTCATAAGTATGAAATTTAGCATAAACAGAGTTTTACCCAATTGGATTGTATGACATCAGCGCACTGCTCTCTAGCCACTATATGCCATTGTATGGTGTTTCTACTCAATGAGGGCATCATCAGTGGCAGTATCAATGCGGATCTCAGTAGAAACTTCAGGATAGTGATCCCTGCTCTACCTGTTGGCACATCTCTCGATATGGATCTACCTTGATCATGATTTTCCGCCAATCATTTTAAAATGTCATTTTTCATAGATGCAACTCACGCGTTCCTTGTGTAAAGGATAAACAGCAACAGAAAGAGGAAAACGGATATCAGAGCAATGGTATCGTAGCCAGGCTGCCATCAAAACATTCCATCAGCGACGCGGTGATAGCGAAAGGATGAGGAATCTCCCAAATTTTTTAGACAAATCACTTTAGTCTGAATTAATTAATGTAATGAGGAGGGACGGTCATCTATGTATTGATGGAACTTGAAGATTCGATCTTCTGAACATCATATGGCAC